CTTTCCCTGTAATAAATCTCTTGTTGCATTTGATTGCAGGCTGCCATTGCTCCTACCTGTCTGCAAAAGTGGTGCAGGCTGGTCACTAATAAACCCTTTTCCCTTTATCTTGGACTTATCCTAAAAACTGTCAATCTGAGGAATTCTAGTGTGACCAAATAAACACCCCAAAATAGGCAACAATGGAAGAAATGCCTGAGAAAAGTCTCATTAAAGCTCAAAATCTGTGAACTCCTGGGACATAGAAGTATTTATCCGAACTCACTTCATGTACCCAGGTTTCCTGAAAATGCAAAGGTGTGCCATTTTCTTGGGACAATGTTATCTGTCTGACAAGTAATGAAGCTACTTCCTAGCACTGACACTCATTTCCAAACCTATTCATCGTTACCCAGAAAATGCAGCTACAAGTCGCTGCAACAGTGCTGACAGACTCTTTCCATCCTGCCCTTTTGCATAATGCGAGGGGTATCCAAAATGATGGCCGTATGGCATTAATGCTAATTTCCCCAACTTTTGGAGCATTTTCCACTGAAGTTAAAGTGTCTCCTATGCAGTCCCATCAAACCCAGCTTCCGTTATCAGTCCCAAATGCTGGCTGAATATTCCAGGCCTAAGATATATGTCTGGTCTCTTATAACAACAGGACTGAACCCCTTCTTTGGTTAATTCTACAGAATGCTCAGCAAAGCTCACGGCTGCCCAAAAGGATGCATTACTAACTTACTCCCCTTCTATAAAGGGCTTCTCCACACCTTTCTCTTCATTATTGCTGCATGGAAGATGAGTTCTTCATGGGGTATTTCTTCCAAAACATTTTATATTCTTTAACCCAAACAATGACATAGTCACATAGGAACAGAGGAACAATCCTTGGAGGTTCCTCAAGGGTCAGGCTGTCATTGCGAGGCAAGCAAGAAGTAAGGGAAAAATGTGCAAGTAACTGAGCTTTCTACTGGGAGGTTCAAGAACAATAAAAGGAATTAAAAATAATACATCTCTCTGATTTGAGACTAATTTTTTTTAAATATTCTATCTTGATTATGAAAAAAATTAAATTTAAAAAGAAAAAGGATTCTGGGATAAAAGTGAACATTCTGTTCTAACCAAATGGGGTTTCTGGTTGTTTTGAGTGATCTTTTTTTGCCTTTTACAAATTGATTAAATCTAATCTTTTTTGTTAATGTTATTTTGAAGGAGAGAAAAAATGTTTCCTGCCAAAAATGTCAACACACAAAATATAGTTTTCTAGCTCTGTCAAAAAAACTGCTCCCCTCTTCCATTTGAGCATACTGGCAGGATTCAGGACAGATTTACAAATGAGTATTGGCATACCTGAAACCATGCTGTGCCACACTTTTCTAATATTTTCCAAGTTTGTACTACTATCTCATGTCTTCTTATGATTGCAAAGACTGTGAAATAATAGTTGTTGGAGAGGGCATATATTCCTGCCTGTTTCATATATGCCAAGGAACAGAAGCAGGGAGCTTTGTCTGGAAGGACTAACAATGACCCTCCTGCAGCATTGCTCGCTGTTTCAGCCCTGCCTTTCTCAGAAGGAACTGACTGCAGAAGAGGACGGTAGAATAAAAATGAGAGAAAATGCAGAAAAGAAGTATTTAGGGAAGAAAATTCAGAATAAGAAAGATGCTGGGAAGGGAGCAAATGTGCTGAAACACTAGTGGTCATAAAGGCAAAAATATTTTCCTGCAGCCTGAGGCTGACATATAAAAAAGAAAAAGACAGTATGAAAAATTAAACCAGGATTTTAAAAAAGTGACATACAGATGAACTGGTCAGCTGGAAAGACCATGGAGTTGATGCTGTTTTCCAGAGGGACAAATATCTGACAGTTTTCATTGGGCACCATCAGCAGCCAGCAGTCAGGTAGCAAGGCTGAAACAGGGGCTTTGGGGTAACTTAGAACACTGCAAAGCCTTCATTGTCCCTAGCAGAGGTTTCATTATACATGTATGCATTCACAGAAATGAGTTAGAGCATATCTACCATCCTCTTTTTTTTTTGGAAGATGAACATTCTATTCCATTAACTTTGCTTTTTTCTTTTATCAGATGATACCTAAAGATAACTAGTTATAAACACTGGTTTTCCAACAGAGAGTTGGATTGCTGCTCTCCATACAGTACAGCAGAGCTGGAGAACACTGAAAAAGGGGTTTTGAAACTATGGTATTCAAACAACTTAATCTGCATTTAACATTCCTTTAATAATCTGCCAACAGTAGCACCTGCTCCATCCAATACATGATGGAGCTCTGAAAAAAGACTGTCAAAAGCAGCCTGGATGGAGGATTTCATCATGCTGTCATCAGGATTGCAACCTCACCATTGGGGCCTGGACATGACGATGTGGTAATGTTCTGCACAAAACCCCACTCCCTCTGCCAAACACACTCAAGCAGATCTACAAGACCTGATGAAGGTACTTTGAACTCTAAGGTTTATCTACTCCTTGTGACTATTATCATCTAGGCTGTTCAGGAGGACAAGATGAACATGGGTGGCATGTGCTTTAGATTTACTGTTTGAGATTTTTCATGCATTCATGAAGGGCACAACGCTTTCTACTCTGCTACAAAAAAGGCCTCCTCTCTTTCAGAGGCTTGAAGATGAGCGTAGCAGTGCCTCTCCTCCCAGGAAGCACCCACAACTGAAAGCTGCAGCGAGGAAAAGATATTTTCAGGCAAGTCACACACTGCACCAAGGACGGTACTGATGAAAGCAAGAGGTAAAACAAACAGGCTGAGACTGAATGTATGACCTCATGATCAGGATGATGCAATCTATCCAAAGCTGACCTTTTTGCTTCCTTTTACTGCTTGACTCTAGAAATAACCCAGGTAGCAGTGCATAATTCAATCACACTGGCAAGTTTATTCTCCTGCTACGTTATGAGGGCATGGTAGGCACCAACAATAAAGTTAAAGTAAATGTCAGGAGGCCAATGAATTGCTGAAGCAGACATTTGTTCTGATCTTCCACCAAGCACAATAACTCTAATGGAAGCTAATAGAGGGTTGTAAAACCTAATACCATGATGCAAGCAGGCAAACACCCAATGTACAGTCTGAGCTCAGCAGGAGGAAGAAAAGCAGCAAGTAATAATCCTTAGTTCCCTACAGAGACATGAAAGCAAGTACAGTATTTCCCTACCATCCTCTCTGGCTTGGCTAAAATCTCTTGAGGGATCCATCACCCTTCTTCCTGAGCAGCTTGAACCCAGCAGGTGACAGAAGAGGGGATTTTTGGGAGACAAAGCAGATTAGGGACAAAGACATGCTGAGCAGGTATAAACCCTGGCTGCCAAAGAGGTGTTTCTACCCATTTTGTAAGCAGTGCTGCAGCTGTGGATGTTGTGGGATTGGTGGCCCAGGAGGACCTAAGCACTGGGGATGCAGGAGAGCTGAGCTGCAGGGTGTGACCACCCCCAGTCCTCATGGCATGGCTGGCACCCCCAGTCCTCATGGCATGGCTGGCTTACTGCTTCCTCTAGCTGCCCCCACAGCAGCAAGAAGAGGAGCTGGCTTGGCTTAGAAGAGGAAGGCTCCTTTTTCAGCTTCAGAGAGGTGCTGGAGCAAATCTGCAAGCTTGGGGCAGGGTAGCGTCCCGTCCACAGCAGCGATGCGTGTGCCTTACTTACAGATAAATCAGTCTCCATCTCTAACCACAGTGATGATTTCCAAGCCTCTTGCTTGGGCAGGGAAGCCACATGGCTATCGGTTATTTCATAAGTAATTTAAAATGGTGTTTACTGTAAGGATCCTACTGAATGCAAACCCCATCACAAAGCCTGGCAGGGCTTTCCCCTCAGAAGTCACTCCTGGAAAGTCTTGATGTTTTCTAGCAGCTCACTCAGGCATCAAAAGTTTAGATCCACAGTCACTTGGCGGATCCCCCTAGTCTTTCCACCAACTGGTGGAAAAGAAAAATAACAAGAATAAAAAAAAAAGTCCATTCCCAATTGTAACCTGCTGAGCATTTCTGAAAACCTGGCTCTTCCATTTTAGCCTGCTTTGAAAAACGTGTAACAAATTAAATGGGGCTCATTTGTTATACAAATGATAGCTGAGGTTTCAAATAAAATAAGCCTAACCTTGATGGAGATTTCATCAGTGCAGGCTATTATTTCCCTCTGCTAATGGCTAACGGCTTAGCCATCTTCACCGAGCAGCAAGAGGTCTCCCAGCTGCCTGGGTGAATTACGGCTAGAGTAAGTAATATTAACCCCTCCAGGATAACTATGTCGGTCATAAAACAAGAGCTGCACACCTGCTTAATTCCAGCAAAGGCAGTCTTTATTAATCAGCTAGCTGAGTGTATGGCAGGTGACCTGCCCACCCTCCCGCGTGAGAGAGAAGGACCATGGGCTTTGTAATGGCTGTGCCAGGTCACAGCAGCCCCGTGTTACTTGACGTCTTCCCTCGTCTTTGGAGAGGGACGGGTATAAATACAGATGAAGTGAGATAGGGATGATCAGAGGTGTATGTGCTAGCAATTCGCAGGTTGCTGACCCTCAGTCAAGATGGGGGACAGGGAGGAGAAAGCCAAAGAGGCTTGTCTGTAGGGTGACCCCAACCCATTCACTAGTGAGCCCTGGCTCTCTGGGAGCACAGTGCTGCTATCGCGCAGCAGCACAGCTAGCCCACAACGCTGGGACTCACTCGCTCTGGCTAAAGGAGTGAATAAATCCCACAAATTGCTATAATAAGGATTCAGCCCACAGATTCTGGCGTAAACACACATCTGGTCTCTGTTTGTAATGAAATCAGCTGAAAGCACCACTGTGCATTAATAACAAAAATGTTCAACATATTGCTACCAAATAAGCTCTGCTTGTCTTGAACTTCTATTGTCACATGTTAATGCACTTTTAACACTGATAAATGATGAAGTGCTACAAAACATTCATCAAGGGACTTAAGAATCAAAAGATAAGCATTACTGAGGCATTGTTTTCTATTCTAACAGTTCTTTTACAATTTGGGCAGAAGTTAAAAACAGAAAGTCAGAAGCTCAATGTAAACATTTCATATTGAGCCTGCCTTTCTTTGGTAAAGATTTCTCAACTACAGGGTTTATCCTGTGCTTGTGTGGCATGATAAAATCCTTGGGGATGCATGAAAGGGAAAGTTTCCCTTTGCAATAACTCGGTGTTTTCCATATGTCCACCCACCTCCTCCTCCCTTTGTCATTCACTTTAGTTTAATTCCACTATCCAGTGCCTCTCCTTTGCCTTTCCCTCACCTTCTTTGCCTTAATTTACATCAGATTTTTACAGTCTTTTTTTCTCCTTGCAATTCCCAGCTACTATGCATGGCTCATGCTTTATGCGTGACTGTTGGTCACTTTGGGTTCCCTGTTGTGAAAAGAACCAAGGAGCTCAGGAACGTCAGTGTGTAGACTTGGTGTGGTCAACACATGGGAAGGGTTTTACCTTCTGAGTGATGTGGTTGATCCAGGGAGAAGAACAGTTGCTGAGATCAGGTCCTTGGGACTCCCAGATCCCGTCTGGCACAAGACACCGGAAAGTTGCAACACCTGGAAGAGGAAAGGTGCTGTGTTTAATGTTATCGTTTGCATTTTGCCCCTAGGGCCCCATGTCACAGACTTCATTTCACAATGACGGATACCTTATGCAAACCTGGGAGCTTATTAGTGCTCTGGACCTCGATAGGACACTTCCAAGACACCTCAGTGTCCTAGTTTCCCATCATTTTAGTGCTTAGGGGCCCAAAGACATAAAAGACCCATGAGGTACTGCAGGAATATTATCTCCGTTTTGCCAGAGGGCTTTGCTTTAAGCCAAGCAGGAAAGCTACCAGGGACTAAGAAATCGAAACTGGATCTCAAACACTGAGCCAGCACCTGGACTGCTCTGCCCTGGCACCCTGGGATCAGACCCTGCACCTCAACTTCCTTGCTGCTTTACAAAGATTTTACTGCTCTGAATCATCATTAAACCATTTGGGTGGAAACACTCAAAAGTTTAAATGCTACCAACACCAAGATAGAACGCTGGGCTTTAGTGTCCCAACCCCAACCATCAAAAGGGACATTAAAGGAGAGTTTTGTTTGGTGAGGGCTGCCCAGATCCCTGCTGCAAAAGACAGCAAAGCACCTCAGACCCTTCCAGACGGAGAGAAATGTGTCCGAAATTGTCCATTTAAAAATCTTTAAAAAGCAAGAAAGCCAGTACATGTAGATTAAAGACTAAGGAGTCTGCATCCTATAAAGTGCTCTGCCCTGCAGAGCCAAACTTTTCAGCAGAGGAGTGAGTTACAGGCTAGGTCTGATGGTAGTGCCGATTAAAACCAGTGAGAGTTTGCTCATGCCTTCAGAGGGAGTTGGAAGAGGCCTACTGCTAATATACCACAGCTTTTAACAAGCTGCATGAATCACTGAAATTACAGATGGGAAAGGCTTATTGCCATCCCCTATCAACAAGTTGGGTTATTTTTTTTTTTCTTTAGCTGTTTTCATCCAGTCCTTAGCTCTTGTGCTTAGAAAAGTGCTCCCTGCATCCAAGCTTCACTTTCCTTTTTTATCTTTTCTTTCCTTTTTCACAGCTTCAGTTCAGACTATGCTTTCCCCTCTCTGGGAACCACATGATACTTTTTGCATTAATTTTACCAAGTGGGGCTGGGAAAGACAGCAAAAATGTCCTTTACCTATTCTCACTACTGATGTCTTTCCATGTCCCTCATACTTTAACGTATATTTTATCAGTCTGACCACCAAATTCAAGAGAGAGTCAGGATTCGTATACATGGGTGTGAATGGCTCTCCAGGGCAATGGAGCAGAGAAGTAACAGAGAGTCTCCTCTGCAAGCCAGATCCCTCCAGCCCTCACTTTCAGGTAATTTCCTCCAGTTTCTGATTTCTTCTTGGCAAGTGGGTTCTCGGCGCTGGACACCAAGACTAGCTTGAAAAATAAACACTTTTGGAAAATGGCATTTGTTAAAATACAGCAAACAACCATATGCCAAAACCCATTCTTCATTCAATTGTGTATTAATTTGCACATAAAATTTCCAAAAGCAACCTTTTGGAAGAAAACAACTGGGGGGAAGAGTAGGAGAAAATGAGCAAAATCTAATAAAGAATAAACCATTTTGAAAGATTTGTCTTTGTTTCCCACCCTGCTTTCCCTGTTGATCACACTGGATACTGGCTGCAGTTTGAAAAAACCCTCACGCTGGTTCAGGAGTGTGATCTGGGAATACCTGTGCTCTGAAATGCTGACCATGGCCTTTGACATGCAAGCACTGCAGCACAGAGCTTCAAAATGTAAGTTTTGTTGATTTCTGTGCCCCTCTCCCTCCCCGCAAAAGGAGCAAAGCATCCCATCAACCCATCAGTCAATGAGCCCAGGGGCTACAAGTACAGACAAAACCAGGAATAACTGGCATATGGTATACAACTTCTGGAGGCAGAGGCTCTTATACCGCATCGAGCTCAACCCCACAAAGTCATTAGCTTGTACTCACCTTCAGTCAGAGCTTGGGATGCCAAAGATCATGCACAATGTGCTCAGCACATTGAGGCTTTGGCCCCGGCCAGCTACTTGCCATACCTTACCAAGGCAATGTAGACCTGACAGAAGGTATCAGTGTGCTCCACTGAAGAAAGCATGTGTGCCACAAGGCCCCATGGGCAACCTGGTTGCACACTCACAACATACCATGAGCAAATGGAGATGACTTGCCATGTCCTTCCGCTCCTCGACTCACCTATCGAGCCCATGGGACACGGCTGCTTCGCCACCTGGCCCTGCCGAGTCCGAGACCACATAATATCACGAGCTTCCATGGGGTCGCAGCTCTCCGTGCCAGCTGGGGGCAGCTGGGAGGAGGCAGGTGGGAGGTGTGTGGTCATTTCGTCAGGGACATCGGCCATGGGTGATGGTGTACTGGTGCTCCTGTTCCTCCTGCCCGAGGTTGAGGTGGTGGTGGGGCGGCCGGTGCTGCTGGTGGCCACCCGTGGCGTGGTGCTGGCGGTGGTGCTCCCCGGGCCCAGAGCCCCAGATGTTGATATTCCTGAAACAAAGGCAGAGTTGATTAAAGAGAGAAAGGAAAAAAGGGACTGAAGCCTAGGTTCCGAGGATGTTCTCTCTGCTGACTGCAGTGGCCTGCAGGGTGTAGCTGGAGCTACAGCTAGTGCAAGGCTTGCTGCACAGCCACCTTTCAGAGACAATCATAGAATCATTAAGGTTGGAAAAGA